CCTCGCCACAGCTTTCCACAATCTACTTCCACACCAAAAACGACCCAAAATTCGTCCTCAGCTGTTCTCCCACTGCCAAACGTCGCTTTCTGACGGCGCTTAAAATATTCTCTTCTTCTCATCTCCCAAAAGCCGTTCTCGAGCCCCAAACTCGGCCTCAGCCGATGTGCACACCACAGACGATCAAAAGCTGTTCTCGAGCCCCAAGCCCGGCCTCAGCCAAAACCAGTCTCGACATGCAGTCTTTCCAGCTAATATATCTTTCTTCTGATGGCCGCTTAGCTCCATTGACAGCTCCAGCAGCTCCCCAGCGGCTCCGAAGTACATCCAGGCCTCGAAGGACTTGTTCCGGATGGGGCACTGTTCTCTGGCGCGCTCCCCCTCCGTCGGCTGGGGTCGGCGGATATACATACACTACTGCGCGACTGTACACATATAGTTTTTGGTCTTGGGGGTCCGCGCGCGCCGTTCAGCCATGTGTTTGTTGAATTGTGTGGAATGTGCCATGCGTGGTATCGCCAGGGGAATCTGTAGCCCGAATTTGTCGCCACACCGTGCCCCTAGGATGGGCAGATATGGGCAGTGTGTCTGGTCGCCAGCGTCACGTCCAAACTAGGATCCCCTTCTACGGGTACCCGGTTCAAAAAGACATATATAAGATCCCTACCCTCTTAAGCTACTTCCGGGAGGGGGGACCTCAAAAAAGTAAGTTACATTTTAGGGTACCCCCCTAGGGGGTCAAAAAATGTAAGTTACCACCCCCCAGGCACCATCAAAACTAGTCAAGCAGGGGGGGGGCAAAAAAATGTAACTTAGGGCCTACGTGCTTTCTTACATGTTTCCACCCCCCCCTGGGGGGGTCGGCAGATCGGGGGAGGGGGGGGGGTCTGGAAAATGTAACTTGGGACCTGGGAGGCCTGAACTTACATTTAAGAACCCCCCCCCCCAGGGTGTGTTGGCAGATCGAAGGGATGTGTGGGAGGTCTAAAAAATGTAAGTTGCAACCTGGCAGGCTTAGAGTTACATGTGTTTAAGACCCTCTCCGGTTGATCTTGAGCATGATGCTTTTGAACAAAGCATCCACCACGGCCCCTCCCTGTCGGCGCAAGCTTCCAGACGCCACCAATGAAGCCAAGCGGAAATCCTGATGATACACACGCACAAACTGATGCATCAACGCCAAGGAAAAGGACACAGGTGAGATTTGCAGACGTGAAAAATTGTAACTTACAATTAGTCCATGCAACCAAACCCTCAGATTTTGCAGGGAATACGTGGGTTCTGGGATCAAGTTGGACCTCACAAATTGTAAGTTACATTTTTAGCACATGCCCAACTTCTCAGAATTTCAATTAACTGGAGTGTCCCCCTGCATTACTTACATTTTAGCACGCTGAAAATCACTCATGTCCGATGTCACGAAGCGCAACCAGGTGGCAAGCCTCTCCCTGTTGTGGCTGATCTTGCGGCTGTTATTTTTTGCTGATGATGACTCATGTGTGTTATCTGCAGCAACAAGCCACACAAAAGTAATCAAAGGATATTAAGGGATATTGCAGGATTTGTTACCTTAGTGTGGGGTTTTGTTTTGTTTGGCTTTGTGTGTGTGGCTGATCTTGTGGCTGATCTTATGGCTGTTATTCTTTGCTGATGATGACTCATGCAGCAACAAGCCACACAAAAGTAATTAAATGATGGGGATATTGCAGGATTTGTTACCTTAGTGTGGGGTTTTGTTTTGTCTTGGCTTTGTGTGTGTGTGTGGCTGATCTTGTGGCTGATATTCTTGCTGATTGTGACTCATGTTTGCTTTCTGCAGCAACAAGCCACACAAAAGTACTTAAAGGATATTAAAGGATATTGCAGGCACACCCAGAAAAAACCTACAGGAAAGGGAAAGAGGGCACACCCACACAGACAAACTGATGCCTCCCAATACTCCCAATAAGGAAAGCATAGCCTCCAAAAATATGAGTCATCATCAACAAAGCAGAACAGGAAATGTGTCAAGTTACATGTGTCAAGTTTCAACTTCTAGGATAGGGGGTGTCTAAAAATGTAAGCGCTCCATTGTGCCTCAAAAATGTAACTTACATTTTTGAGGTCATTCCCCGGGAAATCACCCATGAGGCCTCAAAAATGTAAGTTACTTTTTTGAGGCCACCTCAAAGTTAATGTAATTACATTTTTTGCGGCCCTACGGATAGGAAAATGTAACTTACAATTTTCGACGTCCCCCCTCAGGAAGGGGTAGGGATTATATAAGTAATAATACTTGCGTATGTGTAAGTGTAGTTTTTGAAAAAGATATGAGCATCCGACAAAATCCAATGCATACTAAAGTAGTCACAGGGTGGTCTTGGGAAATCCTGCATCAAGCCTGCATAACCGATGGGGGCCGACCCGCCTACCCATGCCCTTTCGATGCAAAACCACTAAAGGAAGCACGCTGCCACGTTACACGTGTAGCTGGCCCAAACACTTGGTATGCTGATTTTCTCAGCTTGAGATTGAGTTGCTTACGGCAGTGTCCAAGACGTGTTGCAGGACCTACAAATGTCCAACCACGGAATAGCTTTCTCACCGCAATGCTTTGCCGATGCCCCAACAGATGCCCAGATTGAACATGTTTGTGTCCATGCAAGAGTTCAAAGTGCATGTGCCCATGGGAGAGCAGCTTCCCCACAACTTGACAACCACTACTGCACAGGAGAGACCAGCACAGGTGGTAGGAGTCCCAGGAGAGGCCGAGTTCGAGAAGGGTTCCAGCGACAGCAGCGAATCCAAGGAGAAGGAGAAGAAGAAACGCACGAAGAAGAAGAAGAAGAAGAAGAAGAAGTCGTTCAAGGTGACTGGCAAGAAGGATTACGGGTCCCTTTTTGCCGGTACCGGCCTGGACAAGGATGCAAAGACGAGGAAGAAGGTATCCAGGTTGGCCAGGCGTGCTCTGAAGAAGAAGTCCAAGGGACTCAGCTCCACGGACTCAGGCGAGTCCACGGGGGAGTTGGGCGCCGCGGCTGGAGCGCGGAGGCGAGCGGATGGGAGGCTGCTGAACTGAGATGGTTTAGGAGAGTTTCTATCCATGCCCGATGAGAGTTGCCTTGAACGGCCATGGATGTGATTTTGGTTTGCTCGACGCTGCAGAGCTTTCAAGGAAGGAGCCGGGCTGGCCGAAAGGCTGTGAGTGACAAGAGGATCCTCACGAGAGCCCCGCGTGCGTCGACCGATGCAGTGATGGAAACAACAAAAGACCTCTTGTCATTCCTCCTGTTGTCCTCCTCTGGTCCTTGTTGTCCCCTTATTGTCCTTCTGCTGGTGTCCAGATGGCAGGGTGGCAGCATGAAGACATGACACCATCAAGCGCAATCAAAGGGTCCAATGCGTGAATACAAGCGCACGCCTAGTGGGACAGCCTGTCAGCATACATGACAACATGCGAGCTTGCACTGCAAAGCGGTGAGGCACTAGAAAGACAACTCCAGGAAACAACCGCAGAAACTGATGTCCTCTCCTTGTCATCCTGCTTGTCCTCTTCTTGCGGGGTTCTCCCCTGAGAAAACAAGTTGGCCACAGTGTCCGGCCGCGCCTCTTCTATTGCCTTCTTATTGTCCTTCTTCGAGTATTCAATGGCCGTGGTTGCCAGCACATCTCCGGTCTTAGCCCTTCCATCATCGTGTTGTCTTTCTCTTGTTTTCTCTTCCTATTCTCCTCTTGTTCTCCTCTTGGCATACTCATCCTGTTGTCCTTTTAGCGTAATCCGGTCACAGTTTGTCATTCTTTTGACCTCTTGGTGTCCTCCTTATGTCCCCCTTGGGTCTTTCTGTTGTTGTCCTGCTGTCGTGCTGTTGGGCTGCGTCCGCCCACGACAGCAATAATTCTTGTCAACTAAGCTGTTTGCAGTCTACGCTGGTATAAATTGGTGATAGTGAAGCTGGGTCCAGCGATCTAGATGCGTGTGTTATGCAGGCAGCCGAAGGAGTTGGTTTGTCAATCACCTTGGGTGGTCAAAATTTGATGAGCTGTCCTTGTTTGTTGCTATTGTACCTGCGCGTGCCATCACGGTAAATGGTATTATGAAGCTGTGCTTGGCAGCTTTCTGACCAGCATTTCGGTTCCAAGACAGACACGTAAGCAGCATGACCAAAGACATGCTGTCATGTGTCTACGTGTCAGCTGGGGTTGGAAACATGTCCAAACACGCACAAGGAAGTCTAGCAAATCAGGGGGGACAAGACAATCAATGAATGGTTCATGCTAGCTGCTTGTAGATGCATGTTTCAAACTTAGCCATGAAAGCGGCAGCCTTGCACGCATTGCTTCTTCAGATTGTTGCTGCCCGGAAGTGGTGCTTGCAAAATGCGGGACAATGTTATGGCAATCAGCATGCCTTCACCAAGGTTGAGCATTTCCCTTGGGTCCAGTCTTGGGGCGTTGCTCATGCACGTTTGGCGGATATGGACAGCGATGGAGATTTGGATGCCCTTGTATTGAAGGAAGGCAAGTTTTGGTTCTATGAACGCAACAGCTCAGGGGATCTCATAGAAGGAACCCAGCTCAGGGTTCAATTCGCGCCTGACACTTCAATGCGCATCCACCATGACCATGATGAGCCAGCAATGGCGTTTGAATTAACGGATTGGGATCGAGATGGAGACCTTGATGTGATCCTCTCAGATGACGGCAGGCTCCGCTATTTCGAACACCTCCGCCCTGCCAATGCCTCGTTCTTCCTCATCGAACAGCAAGTCTCCGAGTTGGTCGTTTTGGATTCTTACATCGAAATTGTGCGCGAAACACGGCCATTTCCACTCTCTCACTCTCACACTCTCGAAATTGTCGATTGGAACCAAGACGGGCACCTAGATGTGATCGTTGATATGACCCGGTATTTTCAAAGTCACCATGGCAAGCTTCAAGAGATGCCAGCTGAACGCAATCCATTTCGCGACCTTCGTCAAACCGTGTGTGGGGATGACGAGTTAATGGCCATTCGATTGGCTGACTGGGATAACGATGGGGATCTCGATGTTATTGCTCATTGTGCTGGGTACTGTGTGCAATGGGGTTATTGCCAGTTGTCAGTAAGCTATGCAGAGCAGCTCGCAGATGGAACCTTTCTCATGGCTTTGTCTGGCTGGGCGAGCACCGTTGATCTAGTTTCCAACTCTAATTTATTTCTTTGCTGGGATTGCCTGCAGGTGATCGACTGGAATGGAGATGGGCTTTTGGATTTGTTTACCGACAGCCGGGTCTTCTTGAGGAGCCGTGCCTCAGAGTGGGTCCCAAGAAAAGGCAGTGAGAATCCTTTCGCCGGCTTATTGTTCGCAAATGCGCGACCTTATCTGGTAGATTGGGACTTGGATGGCCATCTTGATATGCTGGTGCGGGAGTCAGATCATTTGCGACTTATCCTTCAAAAGCAAGGCTGGGAAATGATGTGGGAATAAATCAAATCAAACGCTCAACGTAGAACATCTGAAACAGGTCTGAAAGTGTCTCTCTCAACTTGGTTTGTTTCATGCTCGTATATGTTGGTGCTTCCTGAAGCCGCTAATTTTACTGTAATCAGTAATCTGCGATTTGTCGAGTAGGTCCAAAGGCTACCCACGGGGATGCTGTGCCAGGAGTTCTCGTCGAAGAAACTTTGAACTTTGACATTGTCCCTTTGTCCTCGAAGAGCGTGAGGACTGGCATCGATGTGGTGGATTGGGATGGTGATGGAGATGCTGATCTTGTCGTGGCCACTTTTGAGGGTGTTCTCAGGGTGTTTGACAACCAGCAGGGAGAGCTTGTGGAATTAAACGTTCTTTTGCTGCATTAGTGTGCCTTATGAGCGGTAGGGCGGTTGCAGAAACACCGGAAAATACACTGGGAGGGGTTTGTGCTGCAAGCTTTTGACTTGATCTCCAGGCATGGACAGTTTGTCGCTGCAAGACAATGCTGACAAGACCTGCGGCTAAGAAGTAGAGAATTATTTAAGGAATAGGCTTTAGGAGTCGCTGCCGGTGTGGTGCTCTGCACTCGCCGAACGCAGCGCACCCGCTCGAGACGGGGCGACGACACGATGCTATTGCATGCTTAGCTATAAAAGCTGTTTCTGGTCCTTGGCTTTGATTTCTTATCGCGATGAAGTCTAAATATGCCATGTGCATGCAAATTATTAGCTGATTTGGTCTTTGTTTCGGTTCGCTCTCTTGCTGGCGCCTTGCATGATCATTTTGCTCACCCCTCGTCCGTGTGACAAGCAGGACGAACTTGCCACCGATAGGCAGTCGCCAAAGGGAAGAATCACACCAGTGTAAAAAGTAACAGCTCTTCGAGATGATTTTATGACGCAACCCCCATGAATCAAATGCCAGCAGTTTACGTAGCAGAGAACGCGTGCATGATGCCAATGCCTACGGCAAAATGTCCACAAACGTGCCCATGCTGCGAACGCAGTAGAACAAGAACAGAGAACATATGAATTAAGACGGATTGTCTTGAGCTCCTGACTAGGATCCAAGAGACAACCTGACGCTTCATGACTAAACCCCTCTTGGCAGTCCGGGCCAGTCTAGCTACATATAGCTATATCGGCCATGCCACCGTACAGTACGAGACTGCTTATTAAAATTCAATTCCTTGAATCACATTTTTCAGTAGCTAGTTTGACTGTTCCTATTCTACTCCGGGGAGGAACCATCCATCAATGAAACCAAGCATCGCCGTGAGCTCTTTCCCTCCCACGATTTCAACATAGATTGGTATAGATGCATCAGTCGAGCCAGTCACAGTCTCAAGATCATTCTATCCCTAGACTTTTGTCAGCAGCGGAGTGATTCATCCTTTTGTCAATCTAAATAGCGAGGCTTTCAACTACTGTACTGTATTTGTATGTATTTGTTTTTTCTCACAGAACGAGCTTAGGGAGTTTGTGTCTTCTTTTTTGTGCTTTTGTGTTCTCTCGGTTGCTTCAGGCTTCAGAACAAGATTTTTTGGCTACGGATGTGCTGGCGTCTTTTGTAGCTTCGGACCACGTCCTTTCTGATCGAAAGCGGGAGTTGGGACTCCAGCTAGTGGATTGGGACCGGGATGGTGACTTGGACCTCCTCATCGGCCCATGGGAGCTCCAAAGCTCGTCGTATTGGGTAGCCTGGAGCTGTTTCCAAAGTTTTCGCTGTACCAAGGCACTTTTTGACTCCCCTTTTTTGTAGATCCTCTTGAATCTATAACTTGTTTATATATATGCATTATATGCTACACCCTCCCCAAAAAACCTACCTTTTAGATACGTTCACTGGTATTTGCAATGATTTGGTGAGATTTCAGAACACAAATTGAACAGCATAGCAATGGTAATGCTCATGGCAATGCAACTAGTACTGCTAATGGCCATTCACCCTTGACCTGTGGCAATGCTATGTGGGACCTTGATGCCATTCACCACAATGCCATTTTCCCTGGTGGAAGCTAGATGTTGATGCTAATAGCAATGGTAGTGCTCATGGCAATGCTAATGGTACTGGCAATGGTCATTCACCCTTGACCTGTGGCAGTGGTACTGGTATGTGGGACGTTGATGCCATTCACCATAACGCAATTTTCCCCGTGGCCCGTGGCTCAAAAAGTGATCCAACTCCTTCACTGGAAGCAGTGCGGGTTCTTTCAAACAATGAAAATGCTCACTCAAAGACTGCATCTTTGCCATGCCAGCAACTATTGCATGTGGTAGCAGAGCAGTTTTTTCCAGAAAGCTTCCAAACCTGAATGCTAGCAATATAGGCCTGATTGCCACCAATAGCAATTTAATGCTTATGGCACTGGCAATGTCAATGGCAATGCTAATGCTGATGCCAATAGCGGTGGCAATGCTATATAATGGTAATGGCTATTCACCGTGTGACGTGTGGCAATACTAATGGCAATGGTTATGCTCATGACAATGGTTATGGAATGCCATTCGCCCTTTGACCTGTGGGAGCTATGCACCTATATGTGCATTGTGACCTGTGGCAGCTTGATTCCATTTACCCTTGAGTTGTGGTACTGGGAATCCAAATGGAATTGCCAATTGTAATGGTGCTGCTGATGGATGCTAATGAGGTTGTTTACCCTTGACATGTGGTGATGCTAATGGCAATAAAAATGCTACTTGCAATGGTGGTGGGGTGCCATTCACCCAGTGAGCTGTGGGAGCTTGATGCCATTCACCATGCTAATGGAAACGGTAATGCCATCCCCTGTGGGAGCTTGATGCTGATGCTAATAGCAATGGTAGTGCTCATGGCAATGCTAATGGTACTGGTAATGGTCATTCACCCTTAACCTGTGGCAGTGGTATGTGGGACGTTGATGCCATTCACCATAACGCAATTTTCCCTGTGTGGGAGCTATGCAGCCTGTGACCTGTGAGAGTGGGAGCTTGATGCCGTTCACCCTCGGCCTGTGGCAATAGGGGTCATAATGGCAATGCCAATGCCTGCGGCAATGGTAGTGCAAATGGTGATGGCAATGCAAATGCAATGGTGGTGATAATGCCATTCACCCGGTGAGCTGTGGGACCTTGATGCCAATCACCCTGTGACCTGTAGCAATGGCAATGCTAATGACAATCGTGATGGTAATACAATTCACCCTTTGCCGGACCTGTGCGGGTGAGCTGTGGGAGCTTCATGCCATTCACCCTGTGACCTGACCTGTGGGAGCTTGATGACCCACAGGTAGTACCTCGGGGGGGTAGGACCTCGGGGGGGTCGGCCAAAAAAATAGATACCACCAAAAGCAAACCTTTTTTTTGGGCCCGCCTCCTCAGATCCAGTGAGCTAGGAAGACTACTACTCACGAGCAGACAACGAGCACCTCCCAACAACTACGACGTCTCGTCCCCAACGTCTGAACACATTCAACATGCAAAGTCCTAAAACAAGCGTTTTCGAGAACACTGGAAAACACACACCTGCATAACGTCCTTTTCTGATATATATATATATATATGTATGATATATGCCCCTTTCAATTGGCTGATAGATTATCATCTCCAAACATGAACTTGTCTAAAAGGTAGGTTTTGGGGGGGTGTACCGTAACACCGTATATATATATACTTTTTCGCGGGAATGTGTATGCTGTGCATGTCTGGCCTGTGCTTGGATATTGAACCGCTTACGCATGATCGCCCAGTTTGTGCTAAAAAGAGCTCTGTAAACGTGACAAAAGGGCTGAAGAAAGACATCACGGCGCTGTCAGGAAGCCTACGTTGGAGCTGCGCCCCTTGTCTGTGTTTTTCAATCGACATTCTTGCCGATTCAGAAACCATGTCCGACAATTCAGCAACTACGATGGGACCATCGCCAAAATAACGTTCGAGGTGGTTGCCACGGGGTTGGAAGATAAAAATGTGAATGTTTCGACATTTCATTGTCATGATATTTCCATCATATGGCTGGAATGGGGTATGGGAGGGGGTGGGGGGAACCATGGCCAAGACAACTACGTTTGATGTGGTTGCAAAGGGAAGGTCACAGTCACAGCACCGTCTCAACCGATCTCCGCCCCAACCTTTGGAAAAGGCGTTACGAAGAGAGGTCGTTTTGTATCGGTGATCGGGTCATCAGTTTATTCTTAAAATGTATAGTATTGGTTACAGTTTTGGACAATAATGGACAGACGAGCTTTTGGTTGCCGAATCATCCGCTTTGGTTTTGGTTACCGGATCAACGTTTTTAGTTACTGTACCGAATCAGAGCTTTTGGTTACCAAATCATAGTTAACAAATTTACTGTTTGGTTTCCGAATCAGTTGGATTTTGGAGCCAAGCAATGTTGTGCGGTAGCAATTCGTACAGCTTTGGTCAAATGGCTGTGTCAAGACTGAATCTTCAAGGCCTGAGTCGGGTGAAACAAAGTCTGACCCTGCAGCTCCAAGGTTCTTTGAGCAAGTGGAAGGGAAGTTAGTGCGGCGTGAAAACCACAGCTTTGAGCGTGTGAGCAAGCCACTTGGCTTCTTATTGCCGCAGGCCCTGGTTCTGGTGGCAAGGAGATGTTGCGTAAACACTACTGGCAAAGACTGGTCTAAGTCAAACCATCGTCATAGTGGTACCGCAACTGCATGTACGTTGTTGAACCTTAGGATAGGTCCTTATCGCCCGGACTGGGCGTGGAAAGTGCTGGACTGTGATGGCGATGGAGAGCTGGACTTGGTTAGACTATGGTACGATCGTTACAAGTCGTACTCGATTCAAGGCGCAGTCTCTTGCAAGCAGCAAGGCGGCGAGCTTCTATGTGAGAACCATTGTTTTGTTGAGCCTGTCCTAAAGTATGCAAAGAACGGTTTTGCGCTCGGGGATTGGGACAATGATGGTGACATGGACCTAGTGGTGATCAAGGAGGGTTCAGCCAGAGAGCCCTTTTTGATGGACAATGGTTTTTGCGTGCTGGAGCAGGCCTGCAGTGGTATTGGTCGTTGCTTGGCTTCGGGTCAGTGCTCTTGCCCCAAGGATCGGTCACTGAGCGATTGCTCTGGTTGTGCTGTGGGCTATTACACACCAGCCTATCAGATTGGCGGCAGAAATGTCCATGGCTGTGAAAGTTGTCCAGTTAACATGAAAGAGGCTGTTTGTGCCGGTCGGGGTGTTTGCGTTGATGATGCTTATGCTCATTATGCACAGTCTTTGCAGCAGACAAATCTCACCAGCAGGACAAGGGGCAATGGCTCTTGCATTTGTGCCACAGAACATTTTGTCGGACTTGACCAACTACAGCGCCAGACATGTGCACAGGGCACGTGTCCTGAAGGCTATATGGAGACTGCTGTGAACGTGACGCATTTGTTGCATCCGCAAGTTCAACTTAGCTTCGGGTGTCAGGTCTGTCCTGCGGGGAGCTTTTCAAATGGTGGTCGCCCGTGCAAGCAGTGTGAGGAAGGTGAAATCCCATCTGAGGATGCTACCTCCTGCTTGGCTTGCAATGAGCATAGGGGCTTTCTGGTCTTCATGGTAGATGAAGCTGGCTTGCACTGCATTCTGCCTCCTTTACAATGGGTCGCCTTGGCGGTTTTCTGTTTGGCCCTGGTCTGCTTCGTCCGCTTTTTGGCCATGGCATGTTGCTATGTGGTGCCCATTGCAGATCTCACCAGGCAGATCGATGGAGTCATCGCCACTGAGCTGAACGCTTGAAAGCGTTGTTGAAACGTTGTGAAAGGTACCATGTTCGAACAGCTGCCATATTTCCAAGCACTTTCCTGTTGGGGTTCTTTCTGATGGAAAGATCGCCGGGCACAGTTCGTGGCCGCGCTAGCAGATTCTGCGTCCGGAAACTGTCCTCCTCTTGTCCTTTTGCTTTTTCCCAAAAGCATCTCCGATGCTTGGGTTCTCGTTTAGTCGCTAGTGCCGCGGAAGAGCGAGACAAAGCGTGCGTTGACGGGGACGGAAGATGGATGTGGAGGTGGACGGGGTTGGGGACGGGGCTGGAGAGGGAAGATGGAGTGTGGACGGGGCTGGGGAGGGAAGATGGAGGGGAGTGAGAGGTGCGTGGGTGTGGACGGGGCATGTGTGGACGGGGCTGGGGAGTGCATGGGTGTGGACGCTTGCGCGGCTGATATGCTAGTTACGAGGACATGGTTGCGCCACAAGCATCCTTGCAGGCTGCGCCGGGTCAGTGCACAAGTAGAACGAAGCATGGGTGGGGGTAGCGCTGCTCCATGCTTCGCGGAAGCACGTTGGGAGGTGAGTGGAGCTGTGTTGCGGGGCTTATACGATGGTCTTGGGTGTCCAAAATGTGCACAATGCATGCGCCAGACAGTCAAGTCATGGCCGACACGGCAGGATTGTTGCGTGCCAAAAGCGCCATGCGTGAAATTGGATGGTTGGAACGAACCATGCAGGGGGGCTGATGCTGCTCCATGCTTCCTGGAACGGTTGTCAGAAGCCATGTTGCAATGTGGTTGGAGACTAGCTGCAGATTGAAAACAGCCACTTGATATTATATATATATATAAACAATACATCCAACCTCCAACCTGACTAAAGAGGGAACCGTCTTGTTTTCTTCTTACTGCAACGATATTTCTATCTAGGGTCTATGCCGGTGTAAATTCTTAAGATCGAAGCCCGCAAAGGTTTGTTCGAGAAAAACAAACGACAAATCCTCTTCTCCTGGGATATCTCCGCCATATCGACGCCCTGATCATGCCAACGATGCACGCCACCGGAAATCCATGCCAAAAAATTAAACACTATAGACGACGAATGACCCGAAAGCATTATACCGCGTGTGATGCACTGTAGCGCTGGCACAGCAGTACACATGTGTGTGCTTTTCCCAAAAGAATCTCCGGCGCTTGGGTTCTCGTTTAGTTTAGTCGTTAGTCGGGGGGCAGAGCGAGACGAGGCAAGCATTTTCGTGGACGGAAGATGGGTGTGGACGGGGCTATATGGATGGAGATGGGAGGGTGGACGGGGCTGTGGAAGGAAGATGGATGCTAAGTAGAACGAAGCATGGGGGGCTAATGCTACTCCATGCCTCGCGGAAGAACGTTATTGTGCGAGTGGAAATGTCTGGCGCGGCCTATATGACGGTCTTGGGTGTCCAGAATGTGTGCAATGTATGCCGAAGGCAGCCCAAGTCATTGCAGAAACGGCGGGGTGGTTGCATGCCAGAACCGCAATGCTTCAAATTTCATGGTTGGAACGAAGGGTTGTTAGAAGCCATGTTGCAATCGTGTTATGACCGTTTTGAAGGGCTTTCAAAACTGACCAAGGGGTGGACCGGGGTGTATATGGCAGACGGGGCGGGACGGTGGTGTCATTGGTGTCATCACCGGTGTCATCATGTGCCACCGGCAATGATTCCAAATGCCGCCGATGTTCAGGTCACAAGTCATGGAGAACATTGGCTCCAGCGCGATGTGGCTGTAGCTTTCAAACACGCAGAAATCCCTTGGCTAGACACAGGCGAGTGGCGAGTGAAATGCGTCAGTGCCCCGGCTGTGATGTAGCTGACGATCCGGCTGGCTGGTTTGTGATCTTACATCCGCCTGGGTCATTTGAGTAGTGTATCAAGGTATATAAATGTTGTTCCTTGTGGCTGTTCAACCCCAAATTTTCTCAAGCTTTATTTCTAGATCTTAGATCCAGTTGAATTGTTGTCTATACATGTTTATACTATCTGTACAAAATTCAGGGGGGCCTCGGAATATGCAAGCTACAGTACATTGTTTTTACGGTTTCGGTTTGACGGAGAAAGGGGGACATGTATCTTATATTTAGGGAGGTCCCCCTTGCAATTTTCGCAAGTTTGATATTTATTGCATGTTTTGAATGTAAGACAAACATAAGGAAAAAAGAACTGAAAAGGAAGAAAGGTCGAAAGCAAACGAGAGGAAAGTGACGAAAGTGGAATCTCCTCAAATGTAGGCAACATTTTTGGATATCCCTGAAGCAATGGCCTAGAAACTCAAAAACAACAATTGAAAACGGCAGAACTAAAGATGCGCGCGGGAAAAGCAAACAATAACGTGTCCAGGCAAGACCGCCTTGTCAGACTGGATGTGCATGGAAGCATTTTCATCTCACCAAAAAGCCGAAACCAACAGAGAAGCACTGTGAAAACCATTAAGTAATATTCTAAAAACATATAGGTGGTTTTCTTTATCGCTCTCTTCCGTTGTGTCTTTGTGTTTCTTCCCAGAACGGGGCGGACACCGTGGCCACCACACCTTCGGTCAAGTCCATTTGCTCGTTTTGAAACCTTGCTTGCCTTTTCGGCCACCTGTGCGGGACGTGCGAAAGTGTTCGGCATTTTGCATAGATACACGAAACCAACCGGCCGATGAGTGGCCCGAGTTCAGCTGATAAAACGGGGCGCACTGCGTTTGCTTCCGCGAACATGGTAGCGGAGCCGGGCAAAGTACCGGCTCCGGCTCCATCCGGTCACGCGATGCCATGGTGGCTTGCGCTTGTTCTTTTGACGATTGTGACCATGGATGTTGAGCTCTACCAGGGCAACGACGTGTACTACCAGGAGAACAAGGAGAAGATGATCGCCTACACGGACTTGGTGACCTTGGAGGACCTTGGTGAGGATTGGCACGTCACGAACTTGGACGTCGAGCAGGTGATGAAGGATGAGGAGGAGCTGAAGAAGCAGTGGATTGGTACCACTGAATGTGCACGGATTGGACCCGTGGTTGGCAGGGAGCTCATGACTGAAGGTCAGTGCAGTCAACCTGGCAGGAATTCAACTTGGAACTTCTCAAAAGTGCAGGATTGGGACCTGGACGTGGAGTTGAGTCGATTGGCATGTCGACCAGTTGGAGATCGGTGCTCTGACTTTCTGATCTTGATTGGAGAGGTGATGGTCGTGAGCTTGAAAAGCTACTTCACCGACGTGAAGAACTCCTTTCTCGACTTTGTGAACCCGTTCCTCCAGGAGTATGGCTTCTACCAGATCTGGAAGAAGGTGAACGAGATGATTGGTTGGAGAGCTATGTGTTTCTTGCTCTTCCTGGTGGCATATGGAGTTGGTTTGACAGTGAGCCAAATGCGCAAGTGCAGAAGGTTGGCTTCGAGGAGAACTTTGACTACGGGCCACTTGGGCTGTTATCGACAGAGAAGATGGAATGGCAGGCTACGTGGATGCTTTGAGAAGAAGTTGCAGCTTCGTGGCTTGGTCTTCATGACCCTTTGGTTGAACACCTTAGCCATGGACCAAGAGCAGATGAACAGATTGCTTGCTCAGGTGATGACTTTGGCAGATGCAGCAACCAATGCAGCAAGAACTTCTTCGTCTGTCATGGAGAGGATGGAGAACTGAAGAGATGGTGGCGGTTTCAGTGAAGCATCTAAAGTCCTCCGACCACCAGAGACATTCGACGTCGATGACCCCATGAAGTATGTGTCTTGGAAGGAAAGCTTCACGAACTGGCTGACCTATGGCAACTACAAGTACTCAGAGCTCCTGAAGGATGCGCAGGCTTTCGGACTTCGCCAGCGAAGAGGTCAAGGAAATGGCCCGGAAACTATATGCCATTTTGGCATCCTGTCCGGGCAGCCGCTGGTGAGCGGAATGGATTCCTCGTGCGGCAACAGTTGAGGGATTTGTATATCCCAAGGGCAAGGCCAAGGACGATGGCAATTGGGCAAGCTATAATGAGCTACCCTTCTTTCCAGCAAAGCAAAAGATCAGTACCAGTTGGCCTCAAGACATCCAATGCCAGAAGATTTGGTGGTGGCCACAGCTCTTCGGTGTGTGGCTCCAAATGTTAGGCAGCACCTTGAGCTGACGCAAGACGACAAGATACACTACTACAGCCTCAAGGAACGTCTCATCCTGATGGACAAGAAGGCTTGGAGTGGAGATTCCTATCTCAAGATGGTCCAGCAGTCGATGAGCACAAGTTCAGGTGGACCCACGCCAATGGACGTGGATCAGATCGGCCAGATCACCAAAGGCAAAGACAAAGGTGGTGGCAAGAAAGGTGGCAAGAGCAAGAAGGGTGGATGGTTCCCTTTTGGCTATGGTGGCGGCAAATATGGTGGTGGCAAAAGCTACAAAGGAAAGGGCAAGCAAGGTGGCAAATGCAAGAAAGGCAAAGGCAAGTATGGTGGCCGCCGTGGAAAAGGAAAAGGAGGAGGTGCAAACAACAACACCTGTCGTATTTGCGGTCAACAAGGACACTGGGGAAACGAATGCCTAGCAAAGCTCAAACGGTGACTCAGCAAAACTTTGCGGAGAGTGAGATTGCTAGTTCAGCTGCGGGCAAAGCAAGATCGACAACTACATCCTCAGTGGCTTCAACCAATGTCCCAAAGACAGTGAGGCAGGTGACTATACCATGTTGCAACACCTCGTGAAGAACAAGAGAACCCTGTTCTCTACGAAATCCAAAGTGAAGGTGGTGAGAGCTGGATCTATGATGACCACTATCAGGTAAATGTGGTGAGCTACAGCTTGTCTCATGACTCTGAAGCTGAAGAGACCCTTGAAGACTTCATCGAGGACAAGACCAACAAATGGTACTGCAACTTGAAGACTTGGCGCTACCGCATGGAAAGAGAGGAAACGAAACCAAAGCTCTTCCACGTGAGCATGGTGAGAAGCGCCCAGGAGAAGATGTTGATCGTCCTGGATTCTGGTGCTGACTGCAGCATCCTTCCAAAAGAGATGGCCAGCAGGGGACGACCTCAAGAAGGCGGCAAAGCAGTGTTGGAAGACGCTCAGGGCTCCCCGTTGAAGGTCTGTGGAAGGAAGTTGGCTCAGGTCGAATGTGACCTGGGCATGGCTGGATCTGTCATCATTGAGGACGACTTCATTGTGGCTTCAGTGCAGACACCTTTGGTGAGCCTTGGGCACCTTTTGCAGCCGCTACTACACCTTTCCTGATCCAGATTCCTGAATGTGGCGGTGAAGAGACTCAAGTTTTGACCATTCTACATCGCGAACGCGAGCCAGTACAATGCTTTGGAACCATCGTCGGTGAGCGCACCGCAACAGCTGGAGGCGCCAATGTCCAGAGTGGTGACTTCCTCTTTGAGACCGAGCCTCAAGTACCTGATGAACTTCGACCTGAGAACCAGGTGACGGAGGAGGAAGTGGACCAACATGATTCAAGCGACTCCTGGGATGGACCTATGCCAGTGTTTGACAACCGTGCCAATTTGGTAGTGAATGATGTCGACCTGACAGCAGCTTGGCAACCCTCAGGAGTGCAGCAGAGTACTGGTGGTTCAAAGAAGACCTTGTTGCGCAAGCTCAACCAGCAGGTCCAGAAGCTTGAACATCAACAGCTCTTTACATCAGCCAACAGGCTGTACAAGGAACAAAACAAACACAAAGGCTTGGTGCAAGTGGCAATTCCTCGACAACCTAGCCAGCAAGAACGTGAACTTCATGAACTAGTGCACCTACCATACCAGCCTTGGTGTGACGTGTGTGTTTCTTGCAAGAGTCGAGCAGATCCCCAAAGACCTTTGGACTTGTCAGAGGAAGAGCGGCGGACATCTCCTTCAATTCAGCTTGACTATGGGCTTGGAAGATCAGAAGGCAAGACCGCTAGCCAAACAGCTTTGACAGTTGTCCTTGTTGGGGTGGATTGTGAGAGCAGGATGTTGATGGCCATGCCAGTTGAGAGCAAGGGTACAGACCTTCGTGGGCAAGCAGAACAGGTGACGAAGTTTTCACTTGCCATGAGCCACTATGGAAAGCTGGAAGTGGTTGGAGACAGCGAGCCGACAATGAAGAGCCTGCTGACTTTAGTCAAGACCCTTCGACAAGGCCTGGGACTCGAAACCGTGTTGACCTTCAGCCAGAAGAAAGGCCAGACTGGCCGTGTGGAAAGGGCGATTCAAACGCTGAGGAGACAGGCCTCAACTCTGGTGAAGATCGCAGAAGATCGTTGCTTGATTTCATTGCCGGGAGATCATGCTTTGTGGAGTTGGGCCTATGTCCATGCAGCCTGGGTGATAAACCGCTTCAGCCGCCATCGGGCGGCACAGATGGCACCTTTTGAGCTGGCTTATGGCAGGCGCTATGTTGGAAAGGTTGTGTGTTTTGGGGAGTATGTGGTGGTGCTCAGCAGGCAGCCTGGATTGAAACAAGGACCACAATGGATTCCAGGCATTTGGGTTGGAAAGACAGAAGAAGATGACCTGCATATGGTAGTGGCTTCCTCTGGCTTGGTTCGAGGTAAGGCAGTCAGACGGACAGGACAACCATGGAGATCCGTCTACCTTTTCATGGTAAAGGAGAAGCCCTACAGAAACCCAAACACGAAAAGACCTTTGAGACTTCTACCTATGACTCCAATGACTCCTCGTGCAGTTCGAGGACCTGGCAAAGGGCATGGACCTGACCGAGACGGCGGAGGTGAAGATAGACCTGATGGACCTTCTGACGCCCAACCAGGGTATCATGATGTGAGAGACCAAGACGCCGATGATGTGATGCAGTATGCTCGAGATCATCCCGGTGGCACTCCTTTGGAGACGAAGAGAGAAAGTGGTGTGAAGCATGGTGGGGAAGAAGTTGAGAAGACAGAGCAACCAGCATCCAAGTTTCTCCGAGTACCTCCTCTACCTATGGGTATGGATGAAGACGAAGCCGTCGGAAACAAAGCTCCTTTGACACCAGAGCTTAAGATCCCTTCTACATCGACCTCCAGTAGACCACAAGAGATGTTGGATGATACTGCAGAGAAAGAGCCATTGCCAAAGATCCCCAGAGTGAGCAGTCCAGAAGGCAGTCCAACACATCTCTATGCACCTCACTATGCTGGTGGTGTGAACCGCATGAAGAGCAGTGGGAAATGGAGGTGGAAGACTTCCTGAATGGTGAACAGGAAGCAGAATGGACCATGGTGGAACTCGACACCGTGGACGAAGGACAACCTCCACAAGTGGATGAAGAGACTATGAAAGAGATCGAGGCTTCTGCAGGGCAAGAAGAAATCAGCAGACTCTTGAGTATGGGAGTCATCAGAGAACCCACAAACCAAGAGTTGGAACAAGGAGAAATCTTGACGACCAGATCAGTCTATGACTGGCGCTTTCGTGATGGCAAATGGAAGAGACGGTGCAGATTTGTTGCGCCAGAGTTCCAAGGAAACGATGTGTCTTCCTCCAAGACCTTTGCGCCAACATCTTCGATAGCAGCAACTAGGCTGGTGCTTGGTACCCACGTGATCTTGAAGTGGCACCTATGCTTCTTGGACATCAAAGATGCTTTTCTGTTGGTGGACCAACTTCGTCTGGTGCTGGTAGAACAACCTACGTGGTGGAAGGCAGATGAAGGCAATGCAAATGGTGGACACCGACGTTTTTGGACTCTGGCCAAATGTCTCCCAGGACAAAGAGATGCAGCAGCTAGGTGGTTTGACTTCTTGAGCGATCGCCTTCGAGATCTTGGATTTCAAAGCCACATGAGTTTGCCTTCATTCTTTCGACATGAGAGCAGACAGATTGGTGCAGTTTGTCATGTCGATGACTTGATTGTGGCTGGACAGCTTGAAGACCTGCAATGGCTGCTAGACAGGATGAAGAAGAAGTTTGTGTTGAGTGAGTCTGGCATCCTTCCACGAGATGGACAACCTGTTGATGAGGCAGTAAGATGCCTGAAGAAGGAAGGCCTGGTGATAATGCCTCATGAGAAGTATGTCGCAGGACTTTTGGAGTTGTACAACCTCACCAACCGAGCAGGCAAAGCTACTCCAGAAAGTACACAGGTTGATTTGGAAGGAGGACCAGAAGACAAGCTTCAAGGTGGAGAACAGCATCGCTTTCGCTCAGCCTTAGGCACGCTCCTGTACATCTCCCAGGGCAGGATTGATATCCAGCACTGTGTCCGGAACCTCTCGCAGTTCATGGCTATGCCTACAAAGAAAGCTGAAACAGAGCTCAAGCATGTGATTTTCTATTTGAAGAGGACCGAGAACTATGGCCTTTTGCTTCCATACACCAGGAACAAAAGTAAGAAAGCTGAGATCCTCAACTTGGCTGACGACTTTGGTGACTTCGACCTCTTGGAAGCATTCACTGACAGCGACTGGGCTGGTGATAAGTCCAGTGAGAAGAAAAGAAGGCATTCAGTGAACTCAGCCATGTTGTTTTTGAATGGATGTCTTGTAGCTGGATGGTCGAGATCCCAGAAGGCAATTTCCTTGAGTTCTTGTGAAGCCGAATTTTTGGCGGCAGCTGGAGGTGCAGCAGAGTCCATCCAGATCAAAGACCTCTGGCAGTTTCTCAGCAAGCGTGAGGTGAAGATTCGATCCATCACGGACAGTACCTCTTGCAGAGCTTTCACAGAGCGGCTTGGAGTGGGAAGGTTGAAACACATCGACGCTCGCTACTTGTGGATGCAGCTTGAAGTCAAGAAAGAAGTCCTCACTATGGCTGGCATCCCAACGCTCTGGAATGTTTCCGATTTGGGAACAAAAAGATTGACAAGGCAGAGGAGAGAGTAGTGATGAGCAATTCACTCCAGTTGGAGAGGATTCCTTCAACGAAGTGGTGACCAAGAAGTTGATGGCCAGAAGAATGAAAGCAGTGAAGGGCGAGATGCTCAAGAGCCTAATGGATGAATCCAGTGAAGCCAAAGTAAAAGTGCCTACAAGTATGGTACGTGCAGTGACGCTTTTGTTGCTTCAACCTGGCGTGCTTGACATGGATGGCAACAATGAGACCACCGAGGAGGAGGTGAAGATCAACTACATCAGTCACTTGTGGTACCTTCAATGGTTCTGCATTTACAGCATGTTCATTTTCCTTTTGGGCATGTATGTTGGCTACAAGTATCGGATTCGACTTAGCATTTTGGTTCGTACTGCTATGCGGTTTTTCAGACAGGAGATCACCATGGAGATGCAGCGACAGAATGACGAAAGAATGTTCAGAGAAGGCATTTTGCAAGAAGCCCGTGAGCAAGAAGTCAGAGACCGAAGAAGTGGAAGAGATTTGCTTTTGAGGGCTCAGATGTGGTCTGCTGCAGGTGGGGAATGGAGATATGAAGGACGCACTATCTTTCCAGACAACCCACTTCGACCTGCAGCACCTGACCGGCAACTAGAAGTAGAATTTCGAAATGAACCGGGAACTGAGCCAAGTGAAAGCCAAGAACGAGATGGAGACTATGAGTGGATTGGTGAATGGACAACAGATTGGGATCCTCCAGTGCTCCAACGAATGGGGGGGTACCGAGTCCTGGAAGGATCTGAAGATGCAGAGAGTGGAGAAGAATACTTCACCGGCAACAAGACCACAGGGCTCTACAGAAGGTATCGACCAACAAGATCAGAAAGAGAAGCACCACAAAGTGGAACAGAGCAGGAGAACGCCATCATGGATGAAAGCCAAAACATGGAAGTGGACATGGAGGCCAACGATGGAAGAGAACAACCAGAAGGAGTCTGGTCAGACTACGATAGACGTGAGCCACCAAATACTGCCAATTGGGATGACCTCGAGACCATCTACAAATACTTGCCACCAGATGAAGAACGACGACCAAGAGGCTGGAATTTTTCCAGTCAACTTGTTGAAAGAATTTCTACAAGCTCGAATTTCACAAATTCATGGACAACATGATCCCAGAGCAGCATTCGACCACGTGCTTAAGTGGAATGCTGATGAGAAGCGAGACTTCGTGAACTTCGCGATCATGGTCTTGTCAGGCCAATGGGAAGACAACTGGGACGAGCATGTGAGACGCTACTTTGACGAAGGTGTGGCGTAAAAAGAGCCACTAGCGTGTCACTTTTCAGGTGGGGTGTTCGTCATTTTGCATAGATGAGCACACCATGTCAAGACAGTTTGATCATGAAACCAACCGGCCGATGAGTGGCCCGAGTTCAGCTGATAAAACGGGGCGCACTGCGTTTGCTTCCGCGAACAGTAAGAATGTAAGTTACATGTTCCATCCCTGTTACCCTCCTAAGTGAAACTTAAAAAGTATTGCTTCACGAAAGGGCCTTGGAACATGTAAGCTACATTTTCCAAGGTCCCCCCTTATGGATTCGTATCAGGTCTCTGTGAGCGTGTTGCGAGGCAAGGAGCGCTTGTTCCTGTTCGCCAAAGATGAGAGCCGCCCCATGGAGACCTCCAGTGGCTGCCTTCGCGTCGGGCTTTGTTCCGCTCTAAGCCGTGCAGGCTTGGGGCAAAACTTTCCATGGCACATTGTATCATCCCAATGTGAAAATTCCAACCCACATCCATCCACAGTCCTCAATGGCTCCACAATCCTAGGCACATGTGGTTACAGCGACATGTTTTTATTCAGAGCGACACTTCGATGGTTGGCTGATTGGGATTTCGGAGTTGTGCTGATTGAACTCGACATGGCATGCATGGCACATAGCGGATTTGAAACGAGATTGCGTTGATTGAAATGCTTGAGGCTACTTGGGAGTGCCTTTGGCACTTTGGTTGCTTTGCTTTGGAGCCCTGGCTTTGGCAGCTCTCTTGAGTGGATACTTGACTTTCTTGATGGCATCCTTTGCTGGAGTTGCTGCGATCTTCCTCGCCGTGGGGCTCCATGTTTATCGGCATTGGCGTTTGTGCTGCTTGGCCGGTCATTTGATCCAACCGCAACCGCAAAAAAAAAAGTGTATATATATGAGCAAAGGTTTTTATTTGCGGTAGTGAAGATTAGCGGAAGCGGCGTTCCTTTTCTATAGCCCAATGTCAGATTTAGTTGGCGAAACGAGGCAGGAACACCCCGAGAACGAGATGGGCATTAACTGCGCCATTTGTTGGAAATGGTTTAGCTGGTGAAACGAGGTAGGAACAACTCTCGAGAACGAGATGGGTATCCACTGCACCAAAAACCGATACAGGAATGGAGAACGAGGTCACGCCCCAAAAACGATGCTAGATTGGAGAACGAGGTGAGGAAGGCCCATGTGATAACTTAACGGAAATATGTTCCGTTACATGTTCATGTAGTCCAGTGGGTGATATCTTCTGCTATGTCATGCCATGTTCTGCTTCTCTCTAGCTGAACACTTGCTTTTGTCAGACAGGTCTTGAGGGTCTAGTTGAGAGTTGTCTACTATGACAGGCTGTTCTGATTAAATTACATGCCAGTTCTGAATCAACTCTGAGTCTGAGATTGTGGGAGCTGGTTGAAGCAGTTGGAATCCGGCCCTCTCGAATGTCCTCCATACCTATAGGTCAGTTTATGAGATGTTTCCCAGCAACGAAACTCTGCACCCCATTATGAGAAGCTTTGCACATTTGTTTGCCAATCCAGACCCCGTTGCTGCTCAAGGTGCCAAGACACCAATCAATAAAAGCCGTGAGCAGTTCTTGCACCATTTGGCCAAGTCAATCTCCAAGCCTATCAGGGCTGAAAGAGGGTCAGCCCGTGGTGTGACCTTAAGACAGTTGCTCTTCTTTCAGGAATTCTTTGAAAGCTTTATTCGTGAGAGGGATATGTACTACACGTCGGCCAATTTGGTGGTGCCTTTGACCAAGAAGGACCACGTGTCTTATGCCGAATTGGTTGGCCCAACCACCTTGAATTGGTTTGTGAGCCACTACTGGGGCATGGGAGTGCGCCATTTCATACAGGCCCTCCAACGGCATGGACTCCATGTGGCAGGTGATGAAGATAGGAAGAACAGCCTGGCCTATTGGGTTTGCACCTTCAGCAACAGTCAGCACCATATCGTTGAAGAGCTTGGCGAGGGCGAGATTTGCAATTCTTCTTTCTTTAAGGCAATGCATGACAGATCGTGTCAAGGAACAGTCATGGTCTTGGACGAAGAAGCCTTGCCTTTGCAGAGGGCATGGTGTCTCTTTGAGGTCTTCCAAACCTTCCGATTGTGCCGTGAGCGAAGCAAGGAGGACTGGAAATCTCAAGAAAATGCTACACACACATGCACTGAAAGATTTCTGATTTCGATCGATTTTCAAAAGGTGCACTTGGCTCCTGCCTAGTCATGGCTATATAGTAGTTTGTGGTGGCAAAAAGTGACCAAACAGGAACAAACAGGTGTGCTTGTGCAAACCGTAATGTCATTGAAATTACTTTTTTTCTTTTCAGTGGTTCCTACTCTCAGAGTCTTCAACTTGTGCTGTGTCGCATCCCAGTGCGTCTCTCCCATTTTGCTTTATTCCATGCAGTTACGGCCGACAGCATGTCAGAGCATGTGAAGGATGAAGAGTCTGTTCATTACGAGGGCTTTGTGATGACGACGTCCTCAGGCGTTTTGTCTGCGGGGGGCGGCGGCACCGATCTTTGCATGGCCGTCGCAGATCGCCTGGCCGTGCTCGACATGCGCCAGGCCGAGGCCACCAATGTCAAGGACGAGCAATCGGAACAAAAGCAAGAAGGAAATGATAATAATTTGTTTTAAACAAGTCTATTAACTATGCTTTGATACGAGACATGTTATATAACTAAATTCGCCCACTAAAGCAAGAAACAAGCAAATCTTGGCTATCTCCGTGGGAAGATGCTTTGTTTTTTGTCGCTGCAAGCAAACAGAAATGGTGTTTGTTGGCAATGGCAAATTTAAAGACGGCAAAGATTTGGATTTGACACAATCAATGTGAAGATGTGTCAAGCTACGTCAAACTAGCATAGTCGAGTCTCGCAACTTCAGTTGTCGCAAAAGCTACAAAGTCGGAGAGGACCTTGAAATGATCCATGATTTGGTGGAGAACGCGCCAGGAGGCTCCTTTGAAGCATACCAAAAGGAGAAGATTCGATTTTTATCAAAGGGTTCAGGACTGCAAGACAGCTAGGTCTTGTCCATGCCAGGGGGAGAGGCTTGCCCGTTCTTAAAGTCTTTAGAGTCCTTAATAAAGTGTCTTATGACCTCGAAAGAGACATGTTTCATCTCGAGGCTTTGACTCCATCAATGCCCTAGTCCGCGTCTGCATTCGCGACGCACTCCTGACAGTTTACCAACGGTTCCAGGGCGACTTCCAGCGATTGATCACGAAGTTGAATGCCAGTGTGCCATCTTCTTTGGATGAAGTAATCATAAGTGAAACAAGCACAAGTGAGCCAAGACCGAGCATACCAATGTACAGCGAATTCACTTCTTCTCAAAGTTTCAGGCCACCAAGAATCTCTTTATTTCATCGTTTCAGCTGGTGAGACCTCTTAACTGATCTGACCATTTGCCTCCAATAGTGAGGACAGGTCAGGACACGCTGAGGGTGGCTTTGGAGTTAGAAACCATATTTCTTCTCTCGGGGGGCAGGGTGAGACAGGAAGTGGAAAAAACCATGACAAGGTTGTGCGTTTGTCAATGAAATTGCAATGCTTTGTCAATGAACCTGAACGGAGCTGACTTCCACACACCAACTCACTTGCACCAAACTCACACACACACACACACGCACACACACACACACTTTGACAAAGGGTTTTCAGTTACATCCATTCCTCATGGAAATGAATGAGGGAACGGAAAGGTGGCAAAGTCCGCGATCAACAGAATGTTGAACAAATGTTGCAAAAACGCTCAAGCGAAAGCGGCGATCAGCAGCTGCAATGCGGAGGGAAACCTGTTTTGTGGGAAGGTATCATAGAAAACCACCATGGAACCAAAAGGGAAAGTGGAGACACAGCGTAATCAAAAGTTGCGGTTGCAGGTACGGGAATGTGCGTCCACATTCCCTTCCGGCTGAATCCCATCGCTTCGTTGGCATGGCTAGGGAAACAGCTGCCATGCCCCTGCATAAAACGTAAGCCGCTCGGGACGGGGTGTGACACACACAGTGTGCCGATAATTGGCGCTCAAGCAGTGGCGAGGTGGATTGTTTTCCACGCTTCAGAAAACGTTGGCAGGCTGAAGCCTCATGTCCCTTGCAATTGGAATTCTAAAATTCTTGAAGCCCTTATCGCAATCCTTTTCTTCTTGCAATGGCTCCAAGACTTTAAATCCAAGATCTTCTAGTCCATAATTGCCTACTGATTATCAACACTGATTCTCTCTCTCTCTCTATCAAATCTTCAACCTTTTCCTCTAGCTCCATCATCAGATTCAGAGGTATCGTCATCTCAACCAGTTGTGTTTTGCCGTATTCCTTGACCAACATCGTCCTATCCAAGGTTCTTTCTTGATTTATGCCATTCACCCCGAGAGATGTTTGATGATTAATAGAAAGAGAAATCCCTATCCATTTGCTTCCATCCGGACTGTGACTTCATTATCTCCTTAAGCTCGTTTCCAAGCTTCACTTCCATTGCATCTAGGACTCTTACAAAATATGGTAATATTTCCACCTTGCAAATTTTCGCCTATACAATCAGGTACTTGTATTGCATCTCCAATGGAATTTTGATATGACCCAAAAAATATCACCCTTGGTTGCGCCATACTGAAATCCTAGGGGTAGACGGCCAGAATTCAGAAAAAATCAAACAAAAATCAAAAATAATGAAGTCAGGTAGGACACCAAGAAATTACAGCAGAAATGGTGCTTTTTTGAAATCCTTTTGCTCAAGGTTAGGCGCCAGGATTTCAAAAACACGTTAGACTACATGATTTTACTAAAGCTGTGGGATTTCACAAGGTAGAGATAGTGGGGTTGGGCTAGGGTTTTAGAGATACTGGAGAGGACGCTTTTCGTGGACAATTTTTGTCAACCTTTTGCTGTGCCCTAGCTCCGAAATGCATAGAGAACGACACCCTGCAGCGGGACCAGCACCTACTCTCCAATGCGCACACGCCCACGCTTTTTGCAGCCTGGAAGCTTGTATCCATCGAAAAAAGATGTCCAGGGGGGATTCGAACCACAACGTCACCGAATCGCCTAGTGGTACCACAACGTCGCCTAGTGGTGCGTATGGGGCCATGTAATCAAGCAATTTATACGCAATTTACAGGCACATTTTTTGGAGTGGTAGGTGACAGAGAATTCGGGCCATGTCTTTGCAAACATCAGAGCACCATATATGTATAAAGTAAAAGACGTCTTTTTACTTGGTCTTATAGTTGCCAAAGTAAAAGACGTTCTTTACGGAGTAAAGTCCTGCTTTCCACCATTTCCACGAAAAATTTTTGGAGGTCAACTTTTGCTATCAGTTGTGCAGAAAATGGAGCCCAATAAGACGAAAAATTTTTGGAGGTCAACTTTTGCTATCAGTTGTGCAGAAAATGGAGCCTAGTAAGACGAGGCCTTTGACTTGGAGGGTATGCGTTTGTGAGGGCACTGGAGGGAACAGCTAAGGTAGATACCTAGGATTTAATTAAACATTTGATCAACCCGGACTCCTTGTTTTTTCCTTGGTTCAAAGGCTTTTAAAATAAGCACCTCTTGGGAAAAAAAAAACCTAGGGCACTATTAAAAAAATAGAAAATTATTTTGATTCGGTAGGTATTTAACACGTAAAATGCTGGGGATTTACTTTATAGTTGTCGGTACTAAGGGGAACAAATAATGAATTATTTCTTGACTATCTATTGCCCATCTAATTCTTAATAATATTCCGAACAATAAAATAGGTCGTCGAATTTCATGTATAAAATGGATCTTTTGATGCATTTATACCTTACGATATTTTTCTTCTGCATGATGAATTATACATCTTTTTATCTTTGAATATTATAAAAATTATATATATTTTCCTGAAATAATTATTTGATTTTTATGAATTTATTATTATATAAAATTGTAATATTTGCATTAGAATTTAATATTATTGATTTATTTTCTTCTATTAAAAAGATAGGATTGTTTTAATGACGTTATTTTTTTCGTCGAATTCTTTTTAATCGATTATAAAAGGATTTGACGAAATTTGGAAGATTTTTTAATGAAATATATTGAATTTTTTTGATATTAATTCGATTGGCATTTATTATCGATAAAATTACTATAATTCTTTGATTGTTTTGATTTTATCGATATTTTTGGATATTAAATTTATATTAATTAATATTAATATTATATTTTAATGATTTTTAAAGATAATTTATTAGTATTATAAATTATATAATTTTGATTAATTTTATTTGTATTATTAAATGTTTTTTTATATTTCGGCAAATAAATAAATGAATATATATTGAATATATTTAAAAAATATATATATTTTTTTTTTTTTTTTTTCGATTTTAAAATATTATAAAATCTAATTATATAGATTTTAATTTAAGAAATTATATATATATATTTTTAATATAATAATGATTTTGAATTTTAAATATATTCGATATTAAATAATACTAAATAATTACTTAAATATTTATATTATTTTATAATTTTAGTAATAACTATAAATATATTGTATATATGTTTTAAATCATTTTATTTTCTAAAAATTTAATCGGATTGCTCGTATTGGGGAGCAGACAATAATACCTGGATATATCTGAATGCATTTATATTCTAAATTCGATTACAACAATTAATAAGCCTAAAATAACGATAGATTTTAGGATTAATACCAAATGGCATGGTTGCACGAAAATCATTATATTTCAATGTAATGCCATTATGTCAAAGAATGTTTTGATTATGATCTTTTGTCGGCATTAGATCCTTATAAATGATTCCTATCGTCATTATATATTATATCATTCCATAGCCAGGCCTCGAACGTCATAAAAAATAATAATGCGAAGAGGTATATATCGATTCCATTCGATTATATAGATTTATTAAAAATATAATAATGAACAATTATATATAAAATCATAATTAAAACATATTTATTATTATAAATATATCCAAGATGTCGAAAATCAATATATAATTATTTCTTCAATTATATATTTAAATCCAATAAATATATATATATAAATATTATCTTCCCCAATAATCATTATTTTAAATCAATCACCGAATTCATCCATATCCTATTAACTTTGCGCCGAATACACAATAAATCAATCTATCAAAAACCGCCCAAAAACATACTATCATACGAATCAACAACGTCCCCGACATATTATACAAAACTTATCACAAACTATAATGCCGTCTGTCAAAACAGAGATAGTGTCCGAAGAACTACGTGTGAGGTGAATGAACACGAGGATCAAACACAAGCGAATTGAGTGGTTAACCGAATGACCGCGGCCGCGCGCCGTTTTCAGCATTTCAAGCCCGCCCTGCGGTGCGAGCACGTCAACCTAGTTCGACGGCGTCCGAACTCACACCGGTGGTGGTGTTTAGTACGCCAAGGCCTGGAAAGCTAAAAACCAAGCCTGCATGTCGGTTCGCAAGCTTCCCCCACCCACTGATGGTGAGGAGTTGGGAAAATCCAGTGGTGACCTTAGATCTCCACAAAACGAGCAATGGCGCAGGACCAACCGACTTCTCTCGTTGATCTGGGGCGCCGTCTGGCAGTGTTCGTAGTGCCAAGCCACTCCGGTCTTGGATGCGATGACCGGTC